ACCTAATTGTGAGTAAAAATCCATTTATTTTAATCAATAATTAACTTGTTTAGACATTAAATAAGTGTGCAAAAACACACTTATCATAACTCAACTTATCTTATGCTACATTCTTGTGAAGGATACAAACATTGCATTACTACTTATTACATTGGCAGATGCTTACACGGTCCAAAATTTAATTTACAAGAACATGATTGACAAATTTCATTTAATGTGAGAATTTTTTTGAGAGTTTTTATGATGCTACGAAGGCATGGGCATATGTTATCTCACTAGTCTACTCGATCTCACTCATTTTCATAGTATTGTTAATGGTTTCGGTATGTATAAAGTATTTCCCATTTTTCTAATATCGTAGTAGCGATGAATATTAAGTTTAGAAAATACTGGAAGGAATTGCCTGTATTGTTTCCGTTAGCTTCAGTAATGGACTCTAGGTTTACTTTAGAGGGTACAAAACATTTGTAAATGAAATTTCATAAAATTAAGATTTTGGATCTCCACTTATTCTCTACCTAAAATGTATGAGATGTGAGTCAAAAAGATCGATAGGAACATTTGATAGTCCCCTTCATTGTAAGGATGGCAACGGGGTTAGGTGGGGGCAGGGGAGGGGCGGGGCTGGGTGGGGCGGGGCGGACAAAGGGTCGCGGCAATTATTCTTGTCTCTTGTCTCATCGAGTATTTTTGTCACATTGTCCTGCTCCCATACTCAAATAAAGGCAAGTACGAGGGTGGATAAATCCTCTACCCTGTTTATTTTTAGTAATTTTTATTTTATTAATTACTTTTTTTTTTCAATGCTTTTAATTGATGAGAATTAATATTAATATTATTATTATTTTTGTAGAACAACCCTTACGAAGGATAACCATGTTTCATGTACTTGTCCTGTCCCGTTTTCCGCCTCAGGTTAACTATCTCCGCCCCGCCCCTCGCCCATGTACCCAATTAGAAAGGGAACAAGGCAAGGGCATTTTGCTAGTTGTAAAATCTAAGGCCTCGTTGATTTTTTTCATTTTTCAACTTTTGTAGTGTTTGATAAGCAAAATTTTTTCGGAAAAATATTTTCTAGCTTTTCAAATTTACCACCTTTTTGAAGAAAATAAATTCTTCATATTTTGATGGGTAAATATTTTCAAGATTTTTTTTTGACAATTGAAAAAAATTCTAAACACAATAGTAAAAAATATTTCACTTTAATAGATAATTTCCATACAAAACAAAACCAAACGAATGATATTCAGTATTGTTATTTTTTTTCAATTGTTATTTTTTTGCAATTGGAACAAATTCTAAACCCAATAGTAGAAAATATTATCACTTTAATGAACAATTTTCATAAAAAAACGAAGGCAAATAAATATCAAACTTTCAACATTTTTCATGAAAAATTATATCAATCAAACACAATTAATTACAATTCGCAGTAAAATAATTTTTAGGCAAATCAATTCTCTATAAAACATTTTCTTTCCATCCTTTTTCCACATTTGCAATAAAACGGACCCTAATGCAAGCCAACGCAGGCAAGGCACGAAGCATGAACACAAGGAAAAAAAGTCAGAAAAATCTTATGCATAACACTATGTCGAAAGTCAAAAATAAAAGGGAGAAAAGTATTGCCACAAAAGCTTGTAGACATAACACCTAACAATTAAAAAAACTTCTGACAGAAGTCAATTTCCAACA